TTATAGATATTTGAAGACAATTCTCATCGTCTATGAGAATTTTAAACAGGTTAAAATTCTAACTATGTTCAAACTATACATTCTAAACAAAATATGAGTATAATGTTAGCAAATGAAGCCCCCCTCCCCCCCCCCCCCCTTCGTCATACCATCATTACTACACCCACGATATGTTATATATAACTAATACATTGAATTATATACCCATTATCATTTGTAATATACCTATTATATATTCCATTATAAGCACACATCGTGAATTTTTAAAATAAATTTTAATTTTAATAAAGAACACGAACATTTAAGGTGTTTTTTTAATTCATACCTTTGAGGGTAAATTTGTTTTCTCTATAATTTTTGGACCAGCTGAACAAATCTGATTAAGATTAGGAATAGTGGATTCGATTATTTTTAATAACTCGGCCGAGCGGACAGCACGCTGGACTTGTGATCCTGTGGTCCCGGGTTCGATCCCAAGCGCCGGCGAGAAACAATGGGCAGAGTTTCTTTCACCCTATGCCCCTGTTAGCTAGCAGTAAATAGGTACCTGGGTGTTAGTCAGCTGTCACGGGCTGCTTCCTGGGGGTGGAGGCCTGGTCGAGGACCGAGCCGCGGGGACACTAAAACCCCGAAATCATCTCAAGATAACCTCATTATTGCAATATGTTATATGGATTACACACACACATACAGATACAGTTTTAAATGTAAATATGATAAGAAAAAAGAGAGGCAGCAGGAAGAAAAGGAGACATGGGGTAGGGGGAGAGAGAGAGAGGAGACAGAGGGAAAGAAAGCAGGGGGAGGGAAGAAAAGGGGATAGGAGGAACAGTGAAGAGGAGACAGGGGGACTGCAGGGAGTGTTGGGGTCCCAGAGGGAGAGAGAAGATGGCAGAGAGAGGGAAGAAGAGAGAGGGAGAGAGAAAATACAGGGAGAGGAGACAGCAGCAGCAGGGTGGAGGGATAGAGATAGACTACAGGGGCAGTGTTCTTAAGGCCCTGCAGGAACACATGTGAACACAAAAGGGGGGGGGCGAACGAACAATTACAAGCAAGAAGAGAGGCTGTTTGGGCCGGCAGGTGTAAGAGAGGTGAAGGCGTGGTGGACGGTGAGGGGGGTTAGGAGGAAACCCTTCCCCCATCCCCCCATTCCCCTCCCCGGGTGAGGGGGTTACATGGTGGGGGGGGAGGAGGAGGAGGAGGGGGTTAACGAGAGGCGGCGTCCCACAAGAGGGTAAGCTACCGTAAAATACGAAGATAATCCCGGTCAGTGTGGGTCAAGGCTGGCTACAAACACTCAGATAGGCAGGGAGGGCGATTCATTGGATGGCAGGGGTTGAGGGCAGGGGGGCACGGAGGGCAGGGGGGCACGGAGGGCAGGGGGGGCGCGGAGGGAAGGGGGGCACGGAGGGCAGGGGGGCACGGAGGGCAGGGGGGGCACGGAGGGCAGGGGGGGGCACGGAGGGAAAGGGGAGGGGACTAATTTCAGAAAGAGAAAGGTTGGGCCATCGCCACCATGTCGAGCCCCAGCTCGAAATCCCAAGTCGAGCTTCCGGGTCGAGTCCCAGGACAATCGATGTCAGATCGAACTGCATGCACTTCGATCCCCAGCTCGAATCCCAGGTCTCACCGAGGGTAGGTCAAACGCCAGGGCGAGCCTCTTCCCCATGCTCACTACATTAAGGGGTTGCAGGCCGTCCTCATCAACAAAGCAGGCCGTCCTCAGACCAAGTCCATTCCATCCAGCGGTCGACCCCAAAGACGCATTCATCAGTTGTAACATGCTGTTCATTCGAAATATGAATTTTTTCACATATATATTAACATTGTTATATATTAGTATACTGTGCATATTTAGACATAGGTTAGGTTAGGTGTTTATGTTCTGTTGGCGATTATTTGTATTTGTAGTACGTGGGTGAAGCATTTACAGCGTTGTGGTCCGAACAAAAGTCGTCAGTGAAGCTGTTGTTCCGGAAGTGTTCGAACGTCATCAGTTTTGCGTCGTGTGTAAAACGTTTTTCATTCATAAACAGGGGGGTTTGGCGGGTGGATGGAATGGACTTTGGGGTCTTTGTTAATAATGACGAGCTGACACAACTCACAACTGAAGACATTCGAACATTTCTCAAATACTGCTTCACTGACGACTGTTCGAATCGTAACTCTATAAATGCAGCCCGTCCTCCAAACAAAGATCTAAAAGTGATTCCATCCACCCGCCAAAGCCCCTGTTTATGAATGAAAAACGCTTTACACACGACTCTCAACTGATGAAGTCCGAACACTTCCGGAACAAGTTACCAGTCTCCGTGGTGTAGTGGTAAAACACTCGCCTGGCGTTCCGCGAGCGCTTTGTCATGGGTTCGTATCCTGGCCGGGGAGGATTTACTGGGCGCAAATCCTTAACTGTTTAAGCCTTTAGCCTCTGTTTAACTCAACAGTAAAATGTGTACTTGGTTGTAACAACGATTCTTCGCGGCGGGGATCGTATTCCAGGGACCTGCCCGAAACGCTACGCGTACTAGTGGCTGTACAAGAATGTAACAACTCTTGTATATATCTTCAAAAAAAAAAAAAATGCTTCGCTGACGAATTTTGTTCGAACCACAACGCTGTAAATGCTTCACCCACGTACTACAAATACAAATAATCACCAACAGAACCTAAACCTAACTTAACCTATGCCTATATTTGCACAATATGCTAATATGTTATAATATTAATTTATATTTGAGAAATTCCCGTTTTGAATGAACAACATGTACAAATTTATGAATGCGTCCGTGGGGTCGACCGCTGGATGGAATGGACTTGAGTCGAAGACGGGTTGCACCCAAGTATGACAATACAAATAATTGCAAACATGATGTAAACATCTAACCCTAACTAAACCTACGCCTAAGTATACACAGAACTCTAATATATAATAATATTAATATATATATATATACGAGAATAAAGCTACTTTTAATGCATAATACGTTAAAATGGAGGAAATACTTCTTGGGGACAGCCGCTGCTTGAGGTCAGAGGTAACTTAGTTGTGTCAGGTCTGTCTGTCTGTCTGTCTGTCTGTCTGTCTGTCTGTCTGTCTGTCTGTCTGCCTATCTGTCTGTCTGTCTGTCTGTCTGTCTGTCTGTCTGTCTCTCTTTCTCTCTTTCTCTCTTTCTCTCTCTCTCTCTCTCTCTCTCTCTCTCTCTCTCTCTCTCTCTCTCTCTCTCTCTCTCTCTCTCTCTCTCTCTCCCTCTCTCTCTCTCTCCCTGGGTGACCGCGTAGGGATTACTCGACCAACAAACAACAGCAGTCATACATATGTTTACATCTGGGTTATGAAGGTATTAAGGTGCGTGTGTGAGGCTCTTAGACAGCTTGGTGAGGTGTGTGTATGGGGGTGGGGGGTGGGGGGTGGAGGGAGATGGCAGTGCTCGGCTAGATGTATTTCCCGAGACATGAGCTACGGCTCTTGGGTTCCGCCTCTCGACACTTAATTGGTGTATAGGTTTGTCACATTTACATTTTAAATCTATGAATACAGTCTTTCTTTACCGTTTGTTAATGCATCTCAAATCCTGACTGTTTTTGACTGAAACCAAAATTCTTTATAACGGCTCTTGATAACGCTTATAACGACCTTTCTATGTCCCATTGTTTGTGTACTATGTTAAATATTCTGTCCTTTTCTGACCTGTCTATTCCAGTGAGTATTTTGTAGCTAGTGATCATATCTTCTCTGTTTCTTATTTTAGTGCCGTGTATGATCGACGGTGGTGGTACACACTGTGTTGCTCTGTGAGTGTACTTGGTGTAAGTGTACCTGGTGTAAGTGTACCTGGTGTAAGTATACCTGGTGTAAGTGTACCTGGTGTAAGTGTACCTGGTGTAAGTGTACCTGGTGTAAGTGTACCTGGTGTAAGTATACCTGGTGTAAGTGTACCTGGTGTAAGTATGTAAGTGTACCTGGTGTAAGTGTACCAAGTGTAAGTGTACCTGGTGTAAGTGTACCTGGTGTAAGTGTAAGTGTACCTGGTGTAAGTGTACCTGGTGTAAGTGTACCTGGTGTAAGTGTACCTGGTGTAAGTGTACCTGGTGTAAGTGTACCTGGTGTAAGTATACCTGGTGTAAGTGTACCTGGTGTAAGTGTACCTGGTGTAAGTGTACCTGGTGTAAGTGTACCAGGCGTAAGTGTACCTGGTGTAAGTGTACCTAACGTAAGTGTACCTGGTGTAAGTGTACCTAACGTAAGTGTACCTGGTGTAAGTGTACCTAACGTAAGTGTACCTGGTGAAAGTGTACCAGGCGTAAGTGTACCTGGTGTAAGTGTACCAGGCGTAAGTGTACTTGGTGTAAGTGTACCTAACGTAAGTGTACCTAACGTAAGTGTACCTAGTGTAAGTGTACCTGACGTAAGTGTACCAGGCGTAAGTGTACCAGGTGTAAGTGTACCTAGTGTAAGTGTACCAGGCGTAAGTGTACCAGGCGTAAGTGTACCAGGCGTAAGTGTACCAGGCGTAAGTGTACCAGGCGTAAGTGTACCTGACGTAAGTGTACCAGGCGTAAGTGTACCAGGCGTAAGTGTACCAGGCGTAAGTGTACCTGACGTAAGTGTACCAGGCGTAAGTGTACCTGACGTAAGTGTACCTAACGTAAGTGTACCAGGCGTAAGTGTACCAGGTGTAAGTGTACCTAGTGTAAGTGTACCTGACGTAAGTGTACCAGGCGTAAGTGTACCAGGTGTAAGTGTACCTTACCAGCTTGCCTCCTAGGAGGGCAGGTGGCGTGATGGCTACACTCCGTGTCGGTGGCTTAGCAACGTGTCAGCACAAGGGATGGTGACTGACTGATGATTGATGAAGATTAAGCCACCCAAGAGGTGGCACGGGCATGAGTAGCCCGTAAGTGGTAGATTTTTTGGGGAGTGAATGTGATCTGTGGTCGTGTAAGGATATATACTGTGTGCTCAGCGTGCATTTAAACTGTCAGAACTTACTATGTGGCTGCTATCGTGGGGGAGGATACTGCTGGACAGCCTTTATGAGTGTCTCCAGCTGCTGGACAGCATTTATGAGTGTCTCCAACTGCTGGACAGCATTTATGAGAGTCTCCAACTGCTGGACAGCATTTATGAGTGTCTCCAGCTGCTGGACAGCATTTATGAGAGTCTCCAACTGCTGGACAGCATTTATGAGTGTCTCCAGCTGCTGGACAGCATTTATGAGAGTCTCCAGCTGCTGGACAGCATTTATGAGTTTATGAGTGTCTCCAGCTGTTTATGAGTCCAACTGCTGGACAGCCTTTATGAGTGTCTCCAGCTGCTGGACAGCCTTTATGAGTGTCTCCAGCTGCTGGACAGCCTTTATGAGTGTCTCCAGCTGCTGGACAGCCTTTATGAGTGTCTCCAGCTGCTGGACAGCATTTATGAGAGTCTCCAGCTGCTGGACACCTTTTTTGACCAGAAGAGTGGCAGTGTTGATGGCTTCAGGGTGGTTACTGCAACCTTCAGAGACTCTTAAAGCTCTTCTAAGGTCGTTGGTTGCTTCACATTCCAGGAGACAGTGAAGTAGTGGCTTGTCTGTGACAGTTTGGCAGAAGATGCATTCCCACTCTCTGGTATCACCAATTTCCCCACTTACACCTGTAACCTAGACGTTATTCTATATAACTGAACTGCTATATAACCGAACTAATATACTGCAGAGGACGACCCTTCTGTTGCTCTCTGTTGATGGTTCAGAGAGTAATAGAAGGGTCGCCCCCTCCCCCGTACGTTTGAACGCCTCAATCGTACGAACTTAGTGTAGGTCGGGGGGCGGAGGGGGGCGGGGGTACTCCTGGCACCCAGGCTCCTGGTGTAGGTGGGTGGCACCCCCTGGCACCCAGACGCCTGGTGTAGGGGGGGGAGGGCCACCACTGGCACCCAGGAGCATCATGGTTCCCGTCGACTCTAATCGGAGTTTAAACTTGTATTTTTGATCCCTGATTTAATTTCTCGGCGTTTAAAGAGGAGATAGTGTGAGTTCGGGGGGGAAGGGAGGGGGGGGGGAGAGATAGTGAGATCTCGGGATATGGGGGGATGGTGAGAGAGAGAGAGGGGTGTTCAAAGCATCACTATCAGACAACCAGATCACTACTCAATAGACTCGCCATCAGACCAGCGCTGTTTACAATACAAACACACAGAAAATGTAAGAATTTTCCCAGATCGCTGACCTCATAATATTTAAAGGTTGCGTGAGACACACACACACACACACACACACACACACACACACACACACACACACACACACACACACACACACACACACACACACATATGAGGAAACCTAAACCTAAATAAACCTTATGAAACCTAAATGAGGAAGCTTTTAGGGCGCTTTACACTGCCTACGTGAGACCCGTCTTAGAGTATGCCGCGCCATCATGGAGCCCCCACCTGAAGAAACACATAAAGAAACTGGAGAAGGTTCAGAGGTTTGCGACGAGGCTTGTCCCAGAGCTACGAGGGATGGGATATGAAGAGCGGCTGAAGGAACTGAACCTTACGACACTACAGAAAAGAAGGGAGAGAGGAGATATGATAGGGACATATAAAATACTCAGGGGAATTGACAAAGTGGAAATAGATCAAATGTTCACACGTAATAATAACAGAACGAGGGGACATGGGTGGAAACTGGAAACTCAGATGAGTCACAGAGATGTTAGGAAGTTTTCTTTTAGCGTGAGAGTAGTAGAAAAATGGAATGCACTTGGGGAACAGGTTGTGGAAGCAAATACTATTCATACTTTTAAAACTAGGTATGATAGGGAAATGGGACAGGAGTCATTGCTGTAAACAACCGATAGCTAGAAAGGCGGGATCCAAGAGTCAATGCTCGATCCTGCAAGCACATATAGGTGAGTACATATAGGTGAGTACACACACACACACACACTCACACACACACACAGAGTGGTAAACGGTTGGAACAAGTTAGGTGAGAAGGTGGTGGAGGCCAATACCGTCAGTAGTTTCAAAGCGTTATATGACAAAGAGTGCTGGGAAGACGGGACACCACGAGCGTAGCTCTCATCCTGTAACTACACTTAGGTAATTACACACACACATGAGCTACGAGATGACAGCCGTCATGTACCATACATGCCAACCAAAACTGCTTTCAATCTCCAATGCAATCCTGCAATCTCAATCAACGTGTCGACGATGAGGTTAAACTCATGTCTGTAGTGTCATTTGTATTATAATCTTATAGAAACGAGATATTACGATAAGCATTTCTGGCCAGAATGTTTATCATCATTACAAGAGTCGACAGATGACTCGGTATTGTCTTGTTCTTAAAATCAGATCAACAGTGCCAACAACAGATCAACATATCAACGGCAGATCAACAACACCAACGTTGCTCCTGCGTTGATTAGACGTCAACTCGAGCTTGTTGCTGTTGACCCCTTGATGTTGTTGTGCTTCACGACGTTGCGTCAACGTAATGCGTCACAGAGATGGAACACCTCACGACGTTGCCTCAACGTAATGCGTCACAGAGATGGAACACCTCACGACGTTGCGTCAACGTAATGCGTCATGGAGATGGAACACCTCACGACGTTGCGTCAACGTAATGCGTCACAGAGATGGAACACCTCACGACGTTGCGTCAACGTAATGCGTCACGGAGATGGAACACCTCACGACGTTGCGTCAACGTAATGCGTCACAGAGACGGAACACCTCACGACGTTGCGTCAACGTAATGCGTCATGGAGACGGAACACCTCACGACGTTGCGTCAACGTAATGCGTCATGGAGATGGAACACCTCACGTGTTGCGTCACACACGAGCCAAGACCTCGGGCCCGGGCATCTTCTGCGGGCCACACACTGTGCTCCTCCCAATTAAGAGCGCGAAGCTGTTCATTCAACTGAAGCTTAGCCGAATCCAAGATTCGCTCTGAGCGTCCAGCAGGACCAAGATTCATCCCCCAGGCCGCCTGACTCGGATCGTCGCTAGATATCTAAACCGACCTTCAGTACATGAACCAAGTCTAGAAAGACCGACCTCACTTCCAAACTTCTAGATATTGGCTCTATTGAGTTGGACAAACCGGAAAACAATTTTCTACTTATGTTGCATAGTCAAACTAACCAAACCTAACCTAACCTAACCTAACCTAACCTAACCTAACCTAACCTAACAGGGAGCCGGTCGGCCGAGCGGACAGCTCACTGGACTTGTGATCCTCTGGTCCCGGGTTCGATCCCGGGCGATGGCGAGAAACAATGGGCAGAGTTTCTTTCACCCTATGCCCCTGTGACCTAGCAGTAAAATAGGTACCTGGGTGTTAGTCAGCTGTCAAGGGCTGCTTCCTGGGGGTGGAGGCCTGGTCGAGGACCGGGCCGCGGGGACACTAAAGCCCCGAAATCATCTCAAGATAATCTATCCTTCCTAGGCCTAATACACGATATATGAGGCCTAATATAGTACATATGTGTGCTATAGGAATATGTAAGTTTGCTCTTAGCTTCATTTTATTTTGACTATAAAGTGAATAGTACAAAATGCTACTATCTAATGGCTTAGTACGTCCATTTTTGTACTATGGTGCACATAGTTACACAAACTACTATGTAAACAGGAGGCTGCTTGGAGGCCCCTCGAGCACTGGTGGGGTCGCTGCCTTCGCTAGACACACCTGTCACAGGTGTGTCTAGCACAGGTAAGTTACCCTAACACCACAGGTCTACCTAGCACAGGTAAGTTACCCCATAACACCACAGGTGTACCTAACACAGGTAAGTTACCCCATAACACCACAGGTGTACCTAGCACAGGTAAGTTACCCCCCCCCCGTAACATCACAACAGACACACCGTTTTGACCCCAAACTTGACCTCGTACAACTCACTGTTCGCACGCCACACAACGCCTCTCAGTTCAGACCCTCTTTCCCCAACTCTAAGCCCGACACAAAGGACCTGTTGAGCTCCTGGGGAGGGCAGGACAGGGCAGAGAAAGCCCTGAGGACACCGTCTCAAACGCCCAGCCTTAAGGAATGTACTCTATCAACCGATACCTGGGAATATCAGGTTTCTGTATAGTGTCCGGTATGGTCGGACACTGACCTATCCGCCCCCCTCACTCTACGGACACCAACGAACAGCTCACGAATCTGTAACGCAGGAGAATAGACAGGTAAGCGTAGACAGGGGGGAGTAGACAGGAGGGGTAGGTAGGTAGATAAGAGATAGGGATTGTATTCGGATACCAACGAACAGCTCACGAATCTGTAACGCAGGAGAATAGACAGGTAAGCGTAGACAGGGGGGGGGAGTAGACTGGAGGGGTAGGTAGGTAGACAAGAGAGAGGGATTGAGTTTGACAATACTGACTGAGACAAATTCACTGTTGACAAATCAGCGTGAATTTCAGAGGAACACGTGGGTCTCTTATGTGGGTTTAGGGTCCATATTGACACCCCTGAGGGGGGGCTTCCATGGAGAGGGGGGAGAGGGAGGGACGTGAGAGAGGGGAGTGAGAGAGGGGAGTGAGAGAGGAGGAGTGAGATAGAGGGGAGAGTGAGAGAGAGGGTGAGCCACAACCACCGAGGGCACCCCCCACAACTCAAGGGGCTCAGCGGGCCGTGATGGACAACTCCTACAATACCTTGAGTGGGCTTCATGTTACCACCTTTGTCTCCCCTCGTGCCGGGAGGGGAAGCCAAGGTGAGGGGAGGTGGGGGTGGGGGGAGGATTGAGGGGGCAGAGAAGGGTAGAAAGGGAAGGAATAGGAGGCTAGTGAATGAAAATAGATAAAGAAAGGAGATAAAGAGAAAAGAGAACATGATGAGGGGAGAGTAGGAAAGGGAAGGGGAGAAAATATTGAACTAAAAACAAATAACATAAAAAGTTAGGACTAACAAATACAGGAGGAACATGAACAGAGAGAAGAGGAGATGAAGGGAAACAGAGAAGAGGGGAGATGAAGGAGAACAAAGAGAATGGGAGCTGGAGGGGGGAACAGAGAGAGAAAGGGGAGAAGGAATAGTGTTTTGTGGGGAAAATGTGGGGGAGCCAAGTTACAGCTGCTGGGGAGGGGAAGGGTGGGGAGGGGAGGGGAGATAATAAGGGGAGACAATGTGTGGGGGAGTGAGTGTGAAGACAGGTGAAGAGTAACAGCTCGGTAGAAGCGAAAAAGAGACAGAAAAGGGGCAATGTAGTATAGC